GGAGGGTATATAGTGAGCTGTATTGGTGGGTAGGCAGGGTATATAGTGAGCTGTATTGGTGGGTGGGGAGGGTATATAGTGAGCTGTATTGGTGGGTAGGGAGGGTATATAGTGAGCTGTATTGGTGGTAGGGAGGGTATATAGTGAGCTGTATTGGTGGGTAGGCAGGGTATATAGTGAGCTGTATTGGTGGGCAGGGAGGGTATATAGTGAGCTGTATTGGTGGGTATGGAGGGTATATAGTGAGCTGTATTGGTGGGTTGGAGGGTATATAGTGAGCTGTATTGGTGGGTAGGCAGGGTATATAGTGAGCTGTATTGGTGGGTGGGGAGGGTATATAGTGAGCTGTATTGGTGGGTTGGAGGGTATACAGTGAGCTTTATTGATGGTTATGGAGGGTATATAGTGAGCATTATTGGTGGGTAGGCAGAGTATATATTGAACATTATTGGTAGATAGGGGGTATATAATGATGGTTAATAAATATTATTTTGCTTGAGGACAACACTGTCCAAACTTTGAGTAAGTTATCAGTGCAAGTAAAGCGATCAAAGCCATAGGCTAGTCTGCGTAGAGACCTCAACGCGATGAGATATTCGCCGTCTCGGGTCAATTATTATCGGGCTGAATTAATTGATAATAACTAATTCCTTATTTGTGTGGGTACAAAAAATTTTTTTCCGCTTAGGGTTGCAGCAAGTACCCATGTAGAAGGTGCTGAATAAGTCGGTTACCCGCAGCGTTAATTTGTTCAATCTTATACAATAACTCTGACTCAAAATATTCTTTATTCTCAAAAATATTCTCAAAAACGTTCTCACAAATAACTCTGACTCAGAATACAAAGAACAAAGTAACGGGACAGCAATTCTGCTCGATTGAAGAAAATAAGCCGAACATATTGTTCATGACGCACGACTCATGAACACACTACCCACGACCCACTTCCCACGACCCACCAGTGAGTATGAGGGAGTGTTTGCCCCCAGCAGCCACGCGGGACGCGCGCTGCACGAGTCCTGGGACTTGCTGGGGCGTCTGCAGGGACTGCTGAATCTCCCGTCCCAGCTTCCCGTCCGCCGCCTCGCCGAACGTCAGCAGCGCTCCGACCGCTGAAAATATTCATATTTATTTAGTACATTTATAAATGAGAATATAGAAATAACTATGTATAGTAAAGACAGCGTTCCGACAGCTGAAAATATTCATATTTATTCATAACATTTACATATGCGGTATGCCAATATAGAAACAACTATGTATAGTCAAGACAGCGTTCCGACCACTGAAAATATTCCACATGATGTTGAGGGCAATTCAATGAATAAATATAAAATAAATATGTATAATACAGAAGTTTTTATGAGACATAAATATATAAAGATATTTCAGAGATCTCCAGTCAGTAAACCATGATCGCCGGCCAACCGTTTACCATTAAAAGATAGGAAGAATATAACTGATTAATAGATCACTAATAAAACAAACTTCATGCATAAAAATTTACAAACAGTTAAACTCTGTGTACTCTTCATTTTATTTATTACCCATAAGATGTTAACGCAATTATTTTAAACATTAACTTTACTTTAGTTACTCGTACTGGTAATTATATATCTAGTTATATGTAATTGTTTATAAAGGAAAGCTTCGTCTCATCAAACTTAAATATTTTAATATTGGGTGTTTTTAGTGATGGACTAATCGCGGACAATAATTATAAAGCATTATTAAACGAGGACACGTCATATTTGAGCTAAAACCAAAACGAAAAATTACTATAGCAACTCAACGCGTTCCCTTCAACGGAGCTGCTCGACCGATAACGTCGCAGCACCCTACCAGCACACTCTGTACCACGCAGCACCACACAGCACTACGCAGCACACCACCAGCACACTCTGTACAACGGTCACGGTCCCCGTCCCAACTGTCTTCCTAGTCCCCGGTCACGCTGATGCGCCGCCTTCGTCGTCCTCCGTCCCCGAGTCGTCGCTAGGCAGGTCACCTTGCCCTCGGGTCCCAGATGTAACGTTGGACGTGTTCCGTATATTTGCCCTCCTTTGGGCCAGCTGTTGCAAGATGCTGTTGCTCGTCACTTGCTGAGGGTGGTTTCCCATTACTGGTGAATCCAGGATCTTTCTCATCAATTGTCCAGTCTTCTCTTGAAAGTTGCAAGGGTGAACTCCCCTCCTCTCAGCGCTTTTGGCAAGGCATTAAAGAGCCTCGGTCCTACCACGGACAGTGATCCCTCACGAAGAGTCTGCGTACTCTGGTCGAGTCGGCTCGGTTATTAAATAGAGGAACCCTACACAGTCTCCCCCTCCTTTCGTTGTAATGTGTCATTATTCTGGAGGTCTCACTCTCAAAGTTGGGAGCCAGTCCGGTTATCATCTTTCAAGTGTACAGTATGATATATACCTCAGTCTTCTTCTCTCCAGTGAGTAAAGTTCCAGGTGTTTCAGCCTTTCCCAGTAGTTCAGGTTCAGCTCCCTCATGCCGCTGATCCTTTACGTGAAGGTCCGCTGCACTGCCTCTAGTTTCCGCACCACATCCGCCTTGAATAGTGCCCAAAGTTGGCAGCAATACTCAAGGTTGGGGAGCACAAGGGCTCTGATGAGTGTAATCATTGGTGCTGCTTCTCTCGTTCGAAATGTCCGCCAAACCCACCTCATCCGTGGCAGCCTGCGCGCGACTCGATGTCGGCATCAAACGTGGCTTCGGTACTCATCAACACTCCGAGATCTCGAACTAGTTGCTTCTCCGCAATTTCTGTGCCATCTGATGCCAAGTAGCGATGTGGCATCCCGATCTCTGTACAACTTTGTCAAAAGCTTTAGCAAAGTCTAGGTATACCACGTCCACGCCAGCTCCCTCTTCCAGCTGGGCCACCAGACGGTGATGGTGCTCCAGTAACTGTGACAAACAGGAACGATTACGCCGGAAACCATGTTGTCCGTTATTATACAGGTCAGCCTCTTCCGTAGACCGGACAAGCCTCTTGACCATTATGTCCGCGGCCAATTCACTTGACCTGATAGAGTTCAGACAGCACCTTCTCAAAAACCTTGATCACTTGTGAGGTCAAGGTCACAGGTCTGTAATTTTGGAGTCTATCCCTAGGACCTCCTTTGCGGATTGGCGTTATCAGTCCCACTTTGAGGCCCTCAGGGATAATTCACTCGGTCATTGAGGCTTTCCAGAGCATTGTGAGTGGAGCCTTCAGTGCTCCAACACTCTTCTTCAACAGCACTGCCGGTATTCCATCGGGTCCTGGAACACAATCGGTTTTCATTTAACTTTTATGGATTAGTAAATATTGCGCAACCGGTGAGATTCTCGACATTCGATCAATAATCTTCTGATTATTCACTGATAATTACCAGTAGAGTAGGCAGCCCTTTGATACACTTATTCTGAATTCATTTATCCAAGTCCTGATGCGCGTATTGATGGCAGCTGAATGGATAGCAGTCGACTGCTCACAATTCAACAAACCTTTTTTATGAAATGATATCCGATATAATTGTGTATATCATCGGTACACAATGATCGGACGCTCATTATCAAAGCTCTGTTGTAACCTGATTTGTGATTATTATACGTTTGTCTTCACGATAGGTTTTATCACTGATTCAACATGGCGCAATCTTTCCGCTATACGCTCGACTCTAAATAATATAAACGAGTCGTCACAGTCGATCTGATGATTAGACACGTTAAACTTATATATGTAGTAGCGTCGTGCGGGTAATATATAGGTATAGCGCTACTAGAAGTTGCTTACTATTTCAGAGCATTAGTCATAACTATATAATACGAGTCGATAGAGCTAATAACTAAGACAAGTCGACGGAGCATTCGTCTACTACTAACTAACTAACTAGTCTAGTTGACTACTAGTTACTACTAGTCTTAGTATAACTAACTACTACTAGTCGACAATCCCTCCCATATTAACCAACTAATATTTTTAACTAATAATAATTGACAGAGCATTCGTATCAACCAACTAGCTATTCAGCGTTGAAACCGAGCAAGCATAACGTGAACATGAACGTAGCTTTCGTGTTGTCAATAATCGATCTTTGCAACATTGAAAGCCTGCGACTTATGCCTCAGCAGCGCTAACTCCGTGCTTACAACGCGCGCTACTGCAACAACAACAAAGATACTATGATAAATTCATGATAATTATATGATGTGATATAGTAAACTAGTCTGAATACCTACTCTCCCAAATTACTAGCGAGTTCTACACTCAGAAAAATGAAAAAGACTTTGTCCAAATATCAATGCACTAATTTCTTATGGTGCAGGTCATGCTTACCTATGCACCATAGTTGAACTATGTTATAACTTATAAACATGGTACCATCTGTGACTAGGACCGAGTGAGCGCTGCCAGCTGCATACCTACTCTCCCAAAAAACTAGCGAGTTCTACACTCAGAAAAATATAAAAAAAACTTTGTCCAGATATCAATGCACTAATTTCTTATGGTGCTGGTCATGCTAACCTATGTACCCAAAGTTGAACTATGTTATAAACATGGCACCACCTGTGACTAGGACCGAGTGAGCGCTACCTGCCAGCTGCATACCTACTCTCCCAAATTACCAGCGAGTTCTACACTCAGAAAAATATAAAAAACTTTGTCCAAATATCAATGCACTAATTTCTTATGGTGCTGGTCATGCTTACCTATGCACCCATAGTTGAACTATGTTATAAACATTACACCACCTGTGACTAGGACCGAGTGAGCGCTACCGGCTGCTATGGCTGCAGGTGGCGCGTGGAGGGACAGCACCAGCTGTGGTGTGTCTCTGTCCTCCGTATCTCCTGTGCCCAACTGGCCCTCATCATTGTGGCCCCAGCTGTAGATACCACCTGTCTCTGTAGAGGTGAATTTTCCAAGAAATTGTCATAAATCAAGGATTTAAGATATATCCTGTTACTGACCGCAAACTATTTTGGATGCAAATTTTTGTTTCTCATGTGTAACTAAATTTGTGTGTAACTTTTACTTAAATTTTTACATAAACTGATCGTTAAATAGATGCTTCAATATGAATTCTAGAACCGATTTAGAAATATGATTCAGATTTTTACGTCACAAGAAAATAATCTGTACAATACAAATGACAGTCAAAATTCCCGGGAGATTAATACTGACATTTAAGTGTTGGAAATTTTCCTGTTTTAATTCTCCCAAATGAAAATATTTCCTTTTTTTATTTTCCCAAAATAAAAAATTTGCCTTTTTCATTTTTCCAAGTAAACAATTTTTTTTCCTTTTCCCAAATAATAAATCAGACTTCCTCTCCTTTTAAATCAGACTTTTCTTTTTAGCGCAATTTCTCATTTATGAAAAAAGGCGCTATTATGCTCGCCATGTCCATCCGTCCGTCCGTCCGTCCGTCTGCCTGTCTGTCCGTGACTTCAAGTTTTCGTCGACGAGAAACTGCTCTCTCTGTCACTCACTGCCGTGAGTACTGAGTCATATTTTTTCATATTTCAGAGGCATGTCAGGAGTCTCTGTCTTACCCGTAGCTGCGATGGTATGCGCGCGTCCACAAGCCACCAGGACCACGCGATGAGGCTTCAGGGCTGCAACAACAAATGTCTTGAGAGCTTTTCTAATACACATTATTATTAATATTATTATTATTATTATTATTATTATTATTATTATCAATGTTGCATGGAATGCAGCTACAGAAATGCAAAATATACTATTTCATTTTTGTAAACAATTGCATGTTATCATGTGAAACAATTCCTTCGTTTCATTTTTTTATGAACATAGTGAAGACTAGAAATACGAGCTATAAGCTCAATTAACATTGATATTAAAAAACATAGTGAAGACTAGAAATATGAGCTATAATCTCAATTAATATTGATATTAAAAAACATAGTGAAGACTAGAAATATGAGCTATAAGCTCATTTAACATTGATATTAATGAACATAGTGAAGACTAGAAATACGAGCTATAATCTCAATTAACATTGATATTAAAAAACATAGTGAAGACTAGAAATATGAGCTATAAGCTCATTTAACATTGATATTAATGAACATAGTGAAGACCAGAAATATGAGCTATAATCTCAATTAACTTTGATATTAATGAACAAAGTGAAGACTAGAAATACGAGCTATAAGCTCATTTAACATTGATATTAATGAACATAGTGAAGACCAGAAATATGAGCTATAATCTCAATTAACTTTGATATTAATGAACAAAGTGAAGACTAGAAATACGAGCTATAAGCTCATTTAACATTGATATTAATGAACATAGTGAAGACCAGAAATATGAGCTATAATCTCAATTAACTTTGATATTAATGAACAAAGTGAAGACTAGAAATACGAGCTATAAGCTCATTTAACATTGATATTAATGAACATAGTGAAGACCAGAAATATGAGCTATAATCTCAATTAACTTTGATATTAATGAACAAAGTGAAGACTAGAAATA